TCTAAAATGGTCTCCAGTTTAACTGGTCCCTGATCTGACTAATATTCAACCTACTTCAACACCCAGTTAACTAGAATTTGTGCATCCCTACTTTCGTCGACCTTTACAAAAGATCATCATTTTCTCAAAAAAACCTTTCTTTAGTGTGAAAAACCGATGAAAACCGGTAACTCTAGCACCGGTTTTCGGTTTGGATCGGTGAAACGATGACGGTACACTGATGACTAATCGTCACCGTTGCTTCCCTAGTCCTAATTGTTTCGATATCCATCAGCTTGGTGACATGTCTTAATTCTTAATATTGGTGGAGAATTTTCATTTATTTGATGGAATTTCTTTTCCGTATTCAAATGCATTCAAGATTTTCAAAGTATAGTGCATACCAAATGTAAATCTGTAAGTTCTGTTTTTATGTGCTTAAAGTGAGTTCGATTTATTTCGTACACACTTGACACGATGTATATCAGAAAACACTTGGAAACAAACAAAGAACACAAAAAGAACGAGAAGAGAGGACGAGAAATAGATCTGACTATATAGATGATGATATCGATCTATATATAATAAACATATTGGATAAATCCAAGTAGAAAATAAAGAAGTAGAAGGAGAAATCCAATATTGAGAATAAGATGAATACTAGGAAAGTTCCATCATAGCAATTACGAATTTTCCAACATAGCGATAGGGAAAATTCCTATATTAAAACCAAAAAGCTGAAAGATAGGAATATTCGTAATACCGGGGACTCGATGAAGTTATAGCTAGGATGAGTGTATTGGGTAAGCTTACGGAAATAGATCCAGGATACGATAGGGATACCGAGAATGGTGCAATGTTGGAACTCAACGCCTCTCGTTGGTGAATGCACTGTAGAAGCTACCATTAGTTTCTTTGTGTATAGTATCAAATTGATCTTTTAAGAATGAATAAGTGTACTTTTGAAGAAATAAGCAAGAATTACATGAAATGGCCTATGATCGGTCTGATTTTTAATTAGGCTTAATTGTTAATAAACCGCTGTGTTCTTTTGATTCAGAATCACATTTCCTAAATATCGAAGATGTCCTTAATGAATAGCGCATGGCTTTATTCATACAGGATGTCCACATGAGGATATGGATGTAGGTCTTCGATTCACCCATACCCGCCACCACGCTCAGGCCCAGATACAGATCCAAACCCACACCCATTCTCAAAAGCCCTTGTAAGTGTCAATGATTTTTGCAATGTTTTCGCCGCACCGTGACTTCCACTATTCAAAATTTTTGGCGAATTTGATACCAAAAGACTAGCCTTACTCTACAAGATAGAATTACTAAGGAACCGTCTATGAACGGTTAGTGGCCTAATTTAGCTTTATTATACGTTCGCGTCCTTTTCGTAATTCTGTATTTAGCGGAATTTCAGAAATTTCAGAAATATTCAATATTTCTGAAAAGTTTTGATTTACTCTGCTATGCGATTATTAAACTTATGTAAATTTCGAAAATTCGAACGTAGCTCAGCTTATCACACTCTATTTATTCCATAAGAATGACTTTTCTGGCTGAAGTTTCTGGCTTATATGAAGGCTTTATCAACGCATAATACTGTTATAAAGGGTGTTTCGGAAGTTCTGAAACGATTTTAAAATTCATCGTTCTCGCATTCAACAAACGCAAACTCTTTGAAACTTTGGCATATTATTGCACATATGCAGTGCCACATAACTACAAAGTTCGAGATCTATAGGTTGTACTATGGAGGAGAAACTGTAACAACATTATGATGTACTATTTTTTAAATTTTCCTGTATTCCGGGTCTGCCAAAATATCTATATTTCGGCTTAGGTAGATGATAAAATCTTGAATTTTTTTAAAAAGATGCGCCGTGAAAAGCTCTACAAAAATTGTAATAACAAATCCCTATTGACTTGTGTTCATGGTTTCTGCCATACACAAAATGAAAAACCTACATGATAGTACTACTTCTCACCATATTGTGCGTAATAAAAAATGTTTGGAAGACCTTTTTGTTTTGCATGTATCTCAGTTTGAGAAAATGATAAAATCTTGATTTTTTTTGAAAATATGCACCATCAAAAGCTTTACAAAAGCTGTATAAACAAATTCCTATTGGAAAGCAAAACAGTCTTTCGAACTTTTTTTGTATTACGCACAATACGGTGAGAAGTAGGACTACCATGTAGATTTTTCATTTTGAGTATTGTAGAAACCATTAGCACGAGTCAATTGGAATTTGTTATTGCAGTTTTTGTAGAGCTTTTCACGGCGCATCTTTTAAAGAAAAATTCAAGATTGTATCATTTACCTAAGCCAAGATATAGATGAAATAAAAAAATGTTGCACACCCCGAAGATGACCAGGAAAATTTAAAAAATAGTACATGTCAGTGTTGTTATAGTTTCTCATCCATAGTACAACCTATAGATCTCAAACTTTGTAGTTATGTAGTACTATATATGTACAACAATCTACCAAAGTTTCAACGAATTTGCTTTTGTAGAATGCGAGAACGGCGAATTTTAAAATCGTTTCAGAACTTCCGGAACACCCTTTATAAAAAGAAACTTTTCTTCAGTGCTGGCGATAATGCTCCAAATTTCTTGCCAAAGTATTTCTTTAAATGAAACGCTTCTAGAGCCAGTATTATAGAGTATTGAACGGATTTCTAAGAAGTAAAAAACGATTTTCTCTAGACTATCTTTGGTCAGTTAAAAAAGGCTATCATTTTTGTGGTCAGGAGAATATATAAAATCGTTAGTAACTAAAATAATTATAAAATCAGTAAAATAATCTAATGGTCAATAAAATAAATCAGTGGTCAGTCAATTTTTTAAACGATCAGTTATTAAAGCAATTAGATTTGTTAATATATTTCAAAATCAGTAAACTAAATTAATGAGTAAGTATAAAAGTACAAAATGTGCTATAGTGTGATTCCATTTTCTTTTCTTTTTTCTTTCTTTCCCCTTCTACTATACCATACACGTGACGAATTTAACATATATTCACATATTTTCTTTTCTTCCCTTCGCATTAAGGTATTTTCCAAATGTCTTCTTCACGTCTATAGCTCAGGCGTTTTTTCTTATCATCATGTTTCTTTTTCAGCGTTATTGACTTTCTCCTTGCTCGTTCATATACGCACAGTTGCCGTTTGGAAACTAGCAAACATAGTTTATTATTCATCTATTAGATCCATTGCCCACTAACTCCTTTCCAGCGTATTCAGCTTAGTGTCAACAAATAAAAGAATGCAAGTAGTACAAGTTGCTCAGTATGAAAACAATGAACCAAATGAAGACGTTCTCAAAGTAAATCATGGAATTAATGGCAATGAAAGAGCCAAAAAAGAAAAGAAACGAAAGTTTTGGGTTAAAGAAGCTACATTTGATAAGCATAATGAAGCAGAAGCGTCAATCGAAAATAAACGTTCAAAACACAAAACAAATTTGGCATAAAATGGAAGAAATATTTATTATACATGCAATAAAGCGAAGCGTCGTGGACCTGAATGTAGCGCAAGTATTTATCTACTGTATCATACAGATAGTGGCAAATTTACTGTTTATAAAACTGAAGGCAACCACAATCATTATAACTAGAAAGGTCGTGGTATTGATAAAATGGTTAAGAAGTACATAGAAGAATTATATAATGATGGCATAATGAAGTCAAAGCAAATTATTCGAGCACTTGACGCAAGAAAAATAAAGACACCAGCGTATACACACAACTAAACAATTATCTTGTCCATTATAAAAAAAGAAGTATGGTTTCTATAAAATAAGCTTGGGTGAATTAGAACAATGGTGTGATGATAATGTAAATATTCTAATTGATGAAAATAAGGCTTTTGCTGTATCATACAAAACATTATACGATAATAAAAAATCTGAAGATGATGAATACATCGAAGAAAATTATGATAATAGATTTCGTATTTTAATATTATCCGTCCGTTTGCTCAATGTTGCCTCTATGTCGTCATATGTAAATGCTGATACTACATAAAAATTGGTCTGGCAAGGTTTTGGGTGTGGGGTGTGGGTGGGTGGGTGGGTGTGGATGTCGGCTGGTATTGTTGTGGTCTTTCTACACTCACACCCACACCCACACCCACTCCTTATGTTGCTGATGCAATTACAAATGGTCTTACAAATATATTCGGTAATTTCTGCCTTCAAATAATGTGTTGGGCACATATCAAACGAAAGGTTGGAAATTGTGTATATCAAATAGATAATAAACATATTGCAAAAAGAAATGATAGAAGATATTGGGATTCTTCAATTATCCAATTCTACAGAGGTATTGAAATTAGCATCAACATTATTTATGAAGAAATGGAATATGGAAAACAAACAAAAAAGACAATCCATATTAGATTTTATGAATTATTTTCATAATGAATAACTCAAGCAAACGCTGGTTAGTATGAACGTATACTAATTTATGCATGAAATACAAACAATGCTCTAGAAACAACCAACAGAACAACTAAAGATGATAGAGCGTTTAGAGAAGGACATATTCTATCAAGATTTTTAACAATAGCGTCAAATATTGTTGTTAATTTGTCTATTGAACAAGATGGTACCTCAATTAATGCAAAAAATATTTGCTATTAAACCAACAATATCTTTAGAATTATGGAACTTATCGCATCAATGAACTAAATCAGCAAAAACATATAATATACTTGCTCGTGATTTCCAATCGATTTCACAAACGGATTTAAATAAATACAAAAATAAAAAGTGGACAACTGAGTCATTTGATATTTGGTATATGGAAATGTAGAACAATAATGATGGAAAAAACTTGAAATGCAACTGTCCAAGCTTTTTAAAAAATTATGCTATATGCAAACACGTTATCGGCATGGTCATTGGTTTGAAATATTGCAAATCACCACCAGCAGCAAAAATAGTATCGATCGGGGAGAAAAGAAAAAGAGGCAGACCAGCAAAGACTGAATCTACTTTGCTAGTACAATAATTGAATTTTCAATTTTTCCATTCATTTTTCGAATTTCTATCAAAAATATTCTTCGGATTTCTTATTACCTATTCTTTATTTCTTTTACATATTAAAATTTATTTTTCTTATACTAAATTCAACTTTATACGAATAAAACTTAATTCTTCTACTAATTCATTCTGCAATTTTACTGATTAAATCTAAAGTTTTCACTGACCGAATTCGAATTTTTTATTGACAGTTATACACAATTTTATTGATCAAAAATAATGTTACCATACAAAAATGCAAAAAAACAAACATGCCACTGTTATGCCTTTTATAACCCTGATACACAATATGATGTCGACCGAAATTTATACACTTAACATTTTCAAAACTATTTTATTTTCATAAAAATAGTCTTTTCTGTATACGTAACCCTTCTTCGCAAGAATCATGTTGCTACATAAAAACGAGAGATCATTGAGTGTATAGTAAGTTGAAAACTGGACAAGAATGTGCAGGTTGTCTTTAGCAACAGAAGTAAAAAATAAATAGATTTTCTTGCAGAGAATTAAGCTCTGTATCGAATGGTATATCAATCAGTATTTTTTGAAAAAAATTTCTGGTTTAGTAAATTCAAAATATCGTTTTTAAAAAACTTAAAACTCGATTTTCGAAGTCAACACTTAATTTTTTAAAGAACAAGTGTAAAACTTGGAATTAATGTGAAAAACTGCACCAAATAGTGCATTCAGATCTCTTCAACTCGAAAAAGCATTTGTCAACAACTTTATCAGCAAAGTGTTGAGTTGCATGAACAGCTCACTACACACAACTACAATGCATCATATCTTTTATAAGTGAGTTTAGTCTTGCATGCAAGTAAGGTGTGGATATGAGATGTGAGTATCAATCCTGGCATGTAGAAGTGGGTGTGATAGAGGCTTTCGACACACCAACATCCTCACCCATCCATCCACACACCCATATTCCAATCTTAATCAAGAGCAACTGCCGATATAACAAATTAGCGATGTGTTTTGTTACATCGTTGTACGTTCTGGGTAGACAGAAAATCCACTGCTTTGCTGGGTAAAATATTCCTGGTGGTCTGTTTACATCATGTACTGTTGATAATAGTCTAGTGAGAGTTGATGCAAAAATAATTGAAGACGACTTTGAGTTTCCTATCGCTCAGAACAATTAGGTCTCTCATAACTATCAACTGGCTGTCTGTTCAGAGAATTGGACTGAGTGATGCTTCGAGTCAAGTTCAATATATTTGTCAACACGCTCACTGATTTCTCGACTTGATTCTTCTTTCGTACATGGCAAGTTTTCTTTTGCGTATAGGATCTCGAACATTTATGCACGAAAATTCACAATCATATTCTGTCACAAATAGTCTCGATGCTAATTTGAGATGCATGAATATTAATTTGCATATTTGTTGATTTGACTGAGAACCAATCAAGATGGACACCTGAACTGTTTAAAACAAACATTCAGTCAAAAGACACTGACAGAACTTTGGTTAATGTCTGAAATTCTTAATTGAAGATATACTTTCAGATTCCGAAAGTATACCAGGTTCATACGGCTCAACCACATACTTTTACCTTTTCCACAGTATTGTGTTAGGCTATGTGGAGCATAACATAAAAATCGTTGATCGAATAGACTAAGGCTGGACGGCAGTCTTTGTTCGTTGGCTTCGGTAGACTCAGCTGTACTTGTTTGATAGGCGCAATTTTTTTCAGATCATCATCAGAAACAAAAAGCTCGTCTCTTTGTCACACGCGTTGCATATTACTTAGTTGATCTGAATATTTACAGTTTGCTGTCTGTTGTTCTGCTCGTGAGGCAAAAGCGTTTGTCTGAATCGGCTCTGCTGAGCTTTAATTTCAATTCATAAGCATATGAAAATATGTTTTGACTAGCGAGATCAATGCTGTGACCTCGGTGAATGGAGTTGTTCGAGCGACTGAACACCCTTGTTCCATGAAAATAATAGTTTTCGCGGATTTTACAATACGTACAATCTACTGTTCAACCTAGACGTCGGAATTACTTTGAATAAATTACACGTAGATACTTTGAATAAAGTGAATACTATTGTACATACTTAACTGGAACAGAAAGCTGAAAGTGTTGACTATGGCGATAATCAAAGCTATTCCTAGAACGATGATTTCTATGGCAATGCTGGGCAGAAATCTTTTGCCCACAAGCTTGTTTTCAGTAAAAAGCTGTTAGCGCAATCCCTTGCGGGATTAAAAATGTGAAACATGATATAGCTGCTGTTACTAGTCACACGAATATGGCTTTCTTCGATATACCATGGGACCCACTTATTCATCATATCTTACTTAATTCTCTAGAACTACAACAAGGAAGCAGTTGATATATTCTTATGAGATTCTAGTGATATATAATCGTAAATCATGTATCAAAAGGTCTGGCACGGTCTGTGATGGGTACGGATTTTCTCTGTCACGGTCTGTGATGGGTATGGCTTTTCTCTGTCACGGCTTGTGGGGGGGGGGGGGGG